GAGAACATCTTATCATCTAAATTGTCTGAAAACAAGGGTCCTAGGGACATTTTTTCCCCTGCAAGTGGCCTGTTTGTGATGCAATTTTCAAGTTTTATTAATTGATTCAATGCTTGCTCTGAGAAGCCTCCTTGGTATGATCAAATATTAGTACAAAGAGGCTTCTTTGGATTGGAATTCAGTTTCAAAACCCAAGAATTCAATGGTAGTAGGTTTCGATCGAATTTTGAAGTTGCCCGGTGTTGTTTGAAGAACAAAACCCTGATCAAATTTTAAAACCATAGATTTTGTTCACATTATTCTAGCATTCTTCAGATGCCCCACCATCGGAGGAATATGGACTAGATGCGAAAATAGTTTGAATTGGAAAAGAGCTACAATCTCGCAATGGTGGTAATATTTTTGATAAATAAAAAAGATCATATTTACCACCAATTTGTTTCGAAAGTCATCAAAGATTTTTCTAGGCATCTGTATATGCTGATTGCTAGTTGCTACACAGCAAGGCAGGTTAGATCATATGGACGAAGGCTGTGCCTTAACTTTGCCGTTAAACACGAGATAGTTCATCTTGGGTCCACAATCTATGAGACATTTGAGATTTAGCATTACTTGTTCACTTAGACTCGTTACAAGCATTTGAAAATTGAAGCTATAATTCAGTTTGGTAGAGAAAATAGGCAACTGACTGTTCTTCATTTTCTTCATCACAGGTATTACTCGTGTTATGGGAAAAAAAAACTTATATTTTGTTTATTGAAAAATAATTTTTTTTAAAAATAAGTTTTAGAAAAAAAAATTAGAAATTAAATTATTTTTTAATGTTTGGAGATGTAATAAAAAATAAATTAAAAAATATTAAAAAATGTATCTTATAAACTTATTTTAAAATATGGTGTTTTAAAGATAATAATATTTTTTTTCTAGCATAATTAGTTTTTTACTATAGAATTTCTAAAGATCAGTTATGATTCTCGGCGATTATAATATTCATAAGATTAGTTTAGGATCATGTTTATACCTCGGGGC